TTTTTTTTTTTGGAAGGGGCATTATAGCAACTCTATTAACTCCACCTGACAAAAATCTGTTAAATAAAGTTTGTTTTTTTGGCCTGCACTTTATAATAACAATTTATAAATTGTGAAACAATTTATAATAAGAACACTCAGATAAAAGCAAAGATAAGTACGTAATACTAAGTAAAAAATTAAACAGGGCTTATTTGCACAAATACAGAGGATGACTTTAAGTATACATGCAAAGTAAGTATTAAACTTACAGGAGTATCAATGAGATTTAAAAGGTATTGCTTCCCATCACAATTATAAAAGAGAGATGCTGTCTGTGCTTTAACAGTGATTCCTCTTTCTCGTTCCACTTGCAATTTATCAAGAACTTGCTTATTATTCTTTGTTTTATCAATTGTCCCTATAAACAGAAACATTTATTGGTATTTCCATGGACTCAAAGAAATGACAATATTCCATATAAAACCAAAACTTAAAAGAGCAGGTAAAAGTAATTACAAATTACTCATTGCCATCAACTAAGTACGTAATACAAAATGAAAATACCTGTTAGTTCCAGGAGTCTGTCAGCTAAAGTACTTTTGCCATGATCCACATGGGCAATGATACTGAAATTTCTAATATTTTCAACAGGAAATCTAGACATGTCAATTTTTTCCTAGAAAGAGTAGAATGTTATTTATGAAGATAAATTTTGCACAATATGAAACAAAAAACAAAATATTCTTTCAGTCCTTTTTGAACAATTTCATTTCTAACATTTATACTGTTCCTCTGAAAATAAAGAGATGTATGGCTAAGCTTATAAAGTAAGCCCAACCCCAGTGCTTAGAATCGAGGGGCAGCAACTTAGAGGACAGAGTAGAACTGCCCCATAGGGTTTCCAAGGCTGAAACTATGGAAGCAGATTACTTCATCTTTCTCCCCTGCAGCGTCTGGTAGATCACTTCCAATCAAAGGTGAACATACAGCTAAATAAAAGTCCTTTACCTAGAGGATAGCCTAGGAAACCATATGGGGCAGTTCTATTCTTTTATATTGGGTCACTGACTCAGAAAAGGAGCGCTGATGAAGAATCAAACGGTTATGTGGAAGGATTACACGATGTAAGGCGTGAGACTTTTTACTCAAATATCTAGAATATAAGTGTTGGTTTTATGTTGGCTTCTATCATTTATTTCACTTTATCCCAGGAAACCTGGGTAATTCTGACTTTGTTCTTGTGGTTGAACAAATCGAGGGTTTGTTGTTGTTGTTATGTGCCGTCGAGTCAAACCCGACTCATAGCGACCCCTCCTTGGGTTTCCGAGGCAGTATCACTACGGAAGTAGGATTGCCCAACCTTCCTTCCATCTAAAAATGACTCACTCTAATAACTGTGAGCAGCGGGTAAGTACCCAAATGCTAAAACAAAGGGTTCGTTTGAACCCACCAACTGCTCCGTGGGAGAAAGATGTGGCAGTCAGCTTCTGTACAGGTTACAAAAACCAAACTCACTGCCCTCGAGTCGGATCCAACTCATTACGAGCCCTCCTTGTGTTTCCCAGGCGGTATCACTACATTAGTAAATTGTTCAATCTTCCAACCAAGGAGTGGCTGGTGGGTTTGAACTACCAGCCTTCTGGTTAGCAGTCAAGTGCTTTAGGCACTACGCCACTGCAGCTCCTTAGTAGGTTTTTATAATTAAATACATACAACGCGCCTAGACTAGATTCTCACAAAAACAAAAAACACAAAAAACACAAAAAAAATCAGTTAGTTGGTTATTGCCATTACAAATTAAATGATACACGAAGTTAAGTGACTTGTCCAAGGTCACACTAATGAGGCCTGCGCTCTCTGCTCTGCTTCCTTTTGAAAATCGCAAGCTGCGTTCACAGCGAGTCTGGGGTAGCCCTTTACCATTCCAAGTTCGCCTAGCGCACCCTCTAAAATGTTAAGTGTGGCTAAGAGGCTAATGGGCGGTCACCTTGCAGTCTGCAGCGCTGTAGAGTCTGGCCGGAGCCCAGGGCTCGGCAGCAGCCCCGCGGATCGGAGCGCGACGGAACCCAGGAAGCCCTAGGCATGCGGCTCTAGTGGACCACTGCACGAGCGCGGGCCCACGCCGCCACCCCTGGCCCAGGAGGACCCACATAGCCTGGGATGGCGGGAACGTCAGGAAGGGCTCCTAAGGCGCGACGGAGCCATCATCCGCGGTTTGTCTTTTTTGACAGCCCTCAGCACTGCCCAGCCGTCAAGATCCCGCCCGGTACTCGGAACTTGTGGTCAACAGCACAGCCCAACCAACAGCTCTGGGATAGGAACGCGGCGTTACTCAATATTCTTGCGCACGCAGATGTGACGTTAGCCCGCCTCCTCGCGAGAGTATAAGGAAGTCACGTGAGTCGGGACGCCCAACTTTTTCAATGTGGAGGGTGACGCATGTTCGTTAAAACTATTGGCGGAGATCAGTGCCAATTGATTTTCTTTATCTGCTTCCTTCTCACTACAGCCTTGTGTGTGTATGTACTGTTTGCTTTCCCCAGGCTACCTCCAGAAATCCAAGCAGTGATTTACGCAAGCGCATACTGTGGTTGCTTGAGTGGTGGAGTCGGATTATAGGACACAGAGAGCCTGATGCTTGACCCTCCTGTGCTCATCATCGTCTCCATAGAGAATACAAAAAAACAAAACAACAACAACAAAAACACCTCACTGCCATCTGTGCCAACTGATGGCAACCCCCATTGCGTTTCAGAGGCTGTAAATCTTTACGATAGTAGATTGCCCCCTTTCCACGGAGCTGTTGTTGGGTTTGAATTGCCAACCTTTTGGTTAGCAGTCGAATGCTTTATCAACTATGCCACCAGAGCTCCCTTCCATAGAGGATTACCCGCCCCCCCCAAAAAAAAAAAACCCACTGCCATCCAGTCGATTGGAACTATAGCGACCTACATTGGGTTTCCAAAGCAGTAAATCTTTACGGAAGTAGATTGCCCAGTCTTGCTTCTGAGGAGTGGCTGGTGAATTTGAACCACCAGCCTTCTGGTTAGCAGTTAGATGCCTTGGGCACTACACCACTAGAACTCCTTTCCATAGAGGGTACGTGGAGATTTAAATTGCGAAATTTAAAGATGCGTTTGTTAACTCAAGGTTGGGACTTCGCCTCCTACAAATGGCATAATAATATTCGAGCTGTTTTAAAATCTGGAAGTTGAAATTTCCTATGTGGAAATTTCTTATAGAAATTTCCTATATGGTCAATATTTCCTATGTAGTCAGTACTGAAATGCATCTGAAAGGAAATGGCAGTAGAAAATTATTTCCAAGGAAAAGGTTACCCAAAGCCCTGATGTCTGTGTCATCCTTAATTTACCACTTCAACAGATGTTTATCGTGCAGAGCACAGAGCCCTGGCTAAGCAAGGTGACGGATAAGGACAAGCGATGAATGGGACACGGGTATAATATCCAAGCCCTTCCTTTAAGTCTAATAAGGATTTGGTTTGAGGGTTCTTTGTGAGTTGTGGTGGAGGATGTTAATCACTGATTTTGTTTCTTCAAATATTTCTGTTCGAGAGTTTCTTTAAAATGGCCCTTAGGAAACTCATAATAGAGCAAAACATAAAATGAATTTCAAAAGATAAACTCTATTAGGATTCTTTTTCAAAAAGCAGAAGTACAAAGAATGTGTGTTAGGGATAAAAAGACCCTAGATTCAAATATATTCTATAAACTCTAAAACTCCTTACCAGCGAGTCCATTCACACTCAGGCTGACCCCTCCTTGGGTTTTCGAGGCAGTAACTCTGCGGAAGTAGATTGCCCAGTCTTCCTTCTGAGGAGTGGCTGGTGGGTTTGAACTATCAACCTTCTGGTTGGCAATCAGATGCCTTAGAGACTTTTATTAAGCCTTCTAAACCAAATGAAACTCTGTCATAAGTCAGTTCCAACTCATAGCAACCCCTATTGGGTTTCCAAGGCTGTAAATCTTTACAGAAGCAGACTACCTTATTTTTATTTCCCTGAGGAACAGCTGGTGTGTTCAAACCACCAACCTTCTGGTTAAATGAAACCAAACTAAACTTCTGCCATCGAATAGATTCCAACTCATAGGGACCCCCTTTGGGTTCCAAGGTGGTACTTCTTTACAGAAGTAGATTGCCCTGTCTTCCTTCTGCAGAGCAGCTGATGGGTTTGAACCACCAACCTCTGGTTAGCAGTCAAATGTCTTAGGTTTTATACTGCAAGACAGGACAAAAAAAAGACATCATCCAGGATGAGGGAAACCGTCAACAGGTACACAATACGGAAGCTGAATGGGGTTCACTGAGTCATGGCCATAGGGCTCATGATATATAACAGAATATATAGGAAATCATCACAAAATTTGTGATTGTGATTGGTGGCAGGTCAATTCATCACTATCACAGGTGGGACTACACAAGTGGGGAAAGGACCATAATTGGGATTTATATACAACTGAAGATTAAAAGGGTTATAGGATTGGTAACCCTTGATCACCTGGCTTGACCAACTGGCAACATGGTAGTCCAGATGGGATTTAGAACTATGGGGCCCTGAGCCATAGCTACAAGGTGGCAACAAGACAATACCGGGACCCAACCTTTAAATAAGGTAGCGAGCGGCTGTTTTCAATAAATCATTAAGGAAATGTTCAGGCAAGTTCCTCAGTACTTTGTGTGAGCATAATCTACTTTCAATCACACTCTTCCTGAGGGCCAGCTGCCTCTCTCTAGACAAGTCTTGGACTTAAGCATAGCTACATTGCTGGTTTAATGTTCAAAAGGACTCAAATGGTGTATGAATTTATGTCATGACTCAAAATGGAGTTAGGGCTTCTGCTGTAGACCACAGCCTTCCACAAAACAATCTATCTGGAGTTTCAGCCTTATATTTAGATCTCTTTTCAGTCTCTATGAAAAGCACTATACATCAGGTTTCTGCTTGTTTTTTCTACCCAACATTACACTTGTTAAAATTTTCTGTTTCTTTTATGTAGCTCTGTTGTTGTTGTTGTTATGTGCCGTCGAGTCAAACCCGACTCGTAGTGACCCCTCCTTGGGTTTCCAAGGCAGTATCACTACGGAAGTAGGATTGCCCAACCTTCCTTCCGAGGAGTGGCTGGTGGGTTTGAACCGCCAGCCATCTGGTTAGCAGGCAAGTGTCTTAGCCACTATGGTACCAGAGTTCCCATTTATGTAGCTCTAGTGTGTCTATTTTCATTTCTGAATTAAAAAGGGGGGGGGGTAAGTTACCATCAAGTAGATTGGAATTCACAATTAGCACATAGGACTTATGGAGACCCCATGTTTTCGTGTGTTCTGCAGGATTTTCATTACATGTTTCATAGGAATTTTTTTTTTTAGCTTTTTATTATGATTTGGGTGAAATTTTACAGAACAAATTAGTTTTCTATTTAACAGTTCATACACATTTTCTTTGATGACATTGATTGCAATCCCCACAAGGTAAAGGTACCCTTTCCACTTCCTCACCGTGTTTACCTTTTCCATTCTTCTTTCTTTCCTATCTTTTCATGCCTTCTGAGCTTTATCCCAGGGCAAATCCTGCCCTTTTGGTCTCTTATGGTTGACTGTTCTAAGGGATAGGTACCCTGTATGTCTATCTGTTATTTGGCTGAAAGTTCAACCAAGGGGGTGAGTTCATTTCCATGCTTGAAGTGTGACTAAGAGCCGTAGTCTTGGGGGTTCCAATAGTCTCTATCGGACCAGTAAACCTGGTCTCTTTTTTATGACACTGAGTTTTGTTCTGAATTTTTTTTTTCCCACTCTATCCAGGATCTTCTGTTGTGATTCCTGTCAGCAGTCAGCAGTGGTATCCAGGAGCCATTTATTTCTTCCGGTCTCAGGGTCATGGAGGCTGAGGTCCCCATGTTCCATTAGTCCTTTGGACTAATGGTTTCCAGGTATCTTAGATCGTCTTCACTTCTCTTTGCTCCAAACAGAGAAAGACCAGTAGTTGTACCTTAGATAACCACTCAGAAGCTTTTAAGACCCCAGTTGCTACTCCTAAAACTAGGAGATAGAACATTGCCTTTGTGAACTGTGACATGCCAGTTGAGCTTGATGTCCCCTGAGGCTATGATCCTGAGCCCACAGGCCTAGTAACTCATTCCCTCAAAGTGTTTGGATATGGCAGAAACATTTTCATAACTTTGCCCCCTGTGTACTCTACTCTGTACATGGATATTTTTGCAGGATATATAAACATATGTAGAAAAATTCTCTGTCAAGTCTATATATATTCCTGAGTGTAGTTCCCTTCACCTTCCCACACTTGTTCAGCATGCGTGTCTGTGTATCCACGCAGAGGCTGTTCGTGATGTTATTGCAGGGTTGTATATGTAATAGTGCAGTGTGGTAAATTACCTGGT